ATAATATGAATGATGCTAGATTGTTATATATCCTAATAAACAAGAGGAAACTATTTATTTTGTATTTATTTGTGCAATTTTGACAGATAAAATAGCTTTTAAGCAGCACCAATGCCAAATAGCTTGTATTGAAGTCTTAGTAATTATTATGCAAAGTAGGTGGCTAATACAGAGTATACTGCAGTTTGTGCTTGGCTTTTGGATTATTCATGAAATGCTGACAAAATAAAAATGCATTTTTTTCTTTGTAAATTGTTTCATACATTGCATGCACTTTGATTGTGTCACTTAAAAGCTGTAAAATACACATTACATTTCATCACAGTTATTAGCTAATTAATGTAATTTATTATTTTGTTTTAAAAAATACATAAACTATCTTATCCCTTTGCATTCTTTCACAATCTTTCACAAATATTGCTGTGTTTTTCTCATTTTGTTCCTCAACATTATGTGTACAGTTACAAAAGGAAGGCCTTCAGATGATTTTGCTTTAAAGGTTTTCATAATATATAATGAGTTGCTAATGTTTTGTTAACTGTCACCTTTTAATATTGCTCGTTGATTTAATACTAAATTCAGTTTAATTCTGTGTTACCGTTAACTGTATATTTGCTGGACCAAAAGCAGTATGCTGATCTTAGCTCTTAAATCAGTCCAGTGTATATCAAATCTCTGCCTTCTGGTTTTGATAGTTGCTAGCTTTTTTTTTTAAGTAAAAGGTTTTACAATCCAAATTTTAATATCTTTTCTTCTTTGTTTTTTTAGATGAAGATGAGGTGGGAGACAGAATCACTGTAAGAAGTGATGAAGAACTCAAAGCCATGTTGTCATATGTGAGTATATAAATTGATTAGTAATTTTTTTTAATCATCACACATCCATCCCACAAATTGAATAATATGATTGTGTTTTAATATTGTATTTGATGTTGTAGAAGTTTACCTGGGGGGTGTCTTCATTAGAAAGTAGTCAAAGCAAGTGCCACTTCTGTCTACAATTTACACATGTCATCAACCAAATATCTGAAAATCTTGAAAGAGAGATCCCTCCTCGGTTATCCATTTTGTCTCCCAACTAAAACTTTTAGGAGCAGGGCAGTCGATATTGACTAGCAGCTATGTACAGCGTGCTAACCTCCACAACTCAGCTGTATTCTAACGTTAATATAGCTATCCTTATTAGCTAGGCTCCTTGTTTGCTAATAACTTATTTGAAGGTGGGTTCTCAGAGATTGACAGTGTTGTGTTAAGAATATATATAGACTAAGTTATCAGAGCTAACTTGAATGCATTAGCCTTGGACAAATATGTGCATTAGTGTTCAGGATACTAACCATTTTACTCCGGATTGATTCAGCACATGATCATGTTTTGATTCAGATCAGGCACGAAGAGGAGTGGCTATTCACAGATGGGTCTGTGTATGTATATATAATATAAAAAATCCCCCGTCTCACCCTCCTTGTGGGGTGGTATGTTTCATCCTCAAGCTCGGGTCCTCAAAGGCCAGGGAGTTTGAGGGTTCTGCGCAGTATCTTAGCTGTAGCCACTCCCCCAGTTTGGGGGTCACAGCCCCCAGTGCTCCGATTACCACTGGCACCACTGTTGCTCTTACTTTCCACATCTCTTCTTGCTCCTCTTTCAGCTCTTGGTATTTCTCAAGCTTCTCGTGTTCCGTCTTCTTGATGTTGCCGTCGTTTGTGATTGCCACATCTATCACTGCAGCCGCCTTCTGCTGTTTTTCGATCAACACGATGTCTGGTTGGTTAGCCATCACCAGTTTGTCAGTCTGGATCTTGAAGTCTCACAGGATGTTAGTTCGGTCATTCTCAACTACCCACGTCCATTTTGACGTGGGGACTTCCAGCCCATACTCATTGCAGATATTCCTGTACACTATGCCAGCTACCTGGTTATGGCGTTCCACGTACGCACTTCCTGCCTGCATCTTACACCCTGCTGTTATGTGCACAGTCTGCACCTGGGGTCCTGCCTGGTATGGTAGACCCCAGCCTCTATTGATCTTGTACTGAGTGCCTGTTCTTGTGCTGCCATGATTAGTGCTTCTGTGCTGTCCTTTAGTCCATCCACTGGTAGGATTTCTTGATATCAGTCACTTCTTCTTCATTTGTCTGTGGTACATGCCGTGCAGCAGCTTGTCCCTCCATGAAGGTTCTTCATCTTCCTTGTCCTCACCCTCGGGTTTCTGCTGCCTGAGGTATTCACTAAGCCCTTCATCTTTGGGGGCCATCTTCCTGATGTACTCTTGGATCTTTGTCATTTCATCCTGAACAGAGGTCTCGACACTCACTAGCCCTCGGCCTCCATCGCTACGCTTTGTGTACAGTTTCAGGGTGCTGGATTTGGGGTGAAACCTTCTGTGCATTGTGAGGAGCTTTCTTGTCTTGTCAGTGTCTACCTCTATCATGCCAGTGGCCTCTATTCTTGGCCAGTTTATTATACCAGTGGGGTATCTGATGACTGGCAGGGCGTATGTGTTGATGGCTCGGATCTTGTTTTTCTTGACTGAGAGACTAGATAATCATTGTCTTATTTTAAAGTGATGTGCACCTATGACGATCACTCCCATATATTGAGGTTGCTGCTAGTGAGTTTCATTTTGTGCACGCTCCTACACACATGCGAGGCAGTTATTTTTTCTGAGCTGCAGTTTATAAACACACACAGTTGGTATTGATCAATAGTTGTATTTCACTATTACTTTTGTTGGACACAAAGTCACAAAACACAGTTCTGGAAGTGGCTGAATAGAAAGACACAGACAGTCCAAGAGATGTGCTGGCCAGCTAGCAAGATAGACAGACTAGAGAAAGATGTAAGCTAGCACATCAAATGAACGTTACTGTTATTTGCTGACATCAGCCTGTTTAATGTTGCCGCAAAGCATTCTCATGGTGTTTTCATTTCCTCCTTTTTGTGACCAGAAGTATAATTTCCGCTTCATCCTGTCATTGAAGTTGTAAACATTGACACCGGCTTTGACATGAGGCAGTTGCCCTACGCAACCTGCATAGTTGGGGCCATAAACACACACTCACACCAAGTTTATGTGTCCTCCTGGTGTTCCAAATTATATATGATGATGGTTTTAAAAAAACAAAACAAAAACATGGTTGGAATATTTGCGAGTTGCACTTGTGTTCATAGTTAAAAAAAATTAGTAACTGTCTCCAAAAATGGTTGCAAAATGCTACTAAATGGTTGTAGTCTTGAGCCCTAAGAGGATCTAAGAATATATAGTGTTTTTTTGTAATTTGTAAAGCAAATTTGTGGTTTTGGGCTATAAAAATATTATAACCTTGACCGGACAGAGTGACTGGACATTGTTTTAAATTGCCTGTATTTTTATTTTTTTTATTTTTTTGTACTTTGACCAGCACAATGCCACAAAGAGCCACTCACCACCCTTTTTCATTCATTCATTAAAATTTTAGGGACAGATATCTCAAAACCTTGGAACATCAAACTCACACTGTCTGCTTGAGTATTTACCTTCTAGGTGGCATGGTATAAAAAAACAAACCACTTGTAGAAAGAGAACAATTTGAAAAACATTACGTATTTTTTTGCCGCAGTAACTAATTTCAGAATTACATGGTCCCTGCCATGGTCACTAAAATCTTATTTAGTGCTGCTGTTCAAAATGACCACCTCAGTGCTGTCAGATTTATCAGATACCGTAGAATTTTAACAGTTAAGAAAACCCTCGCTATAACTTCTCACTTCAACCTCTACAGTGACATTGTATTTACCTGCCACTCAGCAACATATAAAGATATATGAAACCATGTAGCCACATGCTGTTGTATTTAACCTAAGGTAAAAAAAACATCCTATTGGTAATTTTCAACAGCACACACGTACACATGCACCCACTTCCATTGCCCATTCAACTCTTCTACCTAGTGCAGTACATTTTCATATTCCACCATACTTACTGTTCATGCCACGGACAGTAAGAGTAATGGCGTGTAATGGGTTTCTCTACGAGGTACACTGAAAGCTAAATGAACTGTCAATTTTTATTATTTATTATTCAGTACTTAAAGTTTTGCCTCATTAAAGAGCGGCCCCCTGGGCTGCAGAATTGTTCAAAATCTACTTTCATCTGTGGATGTCTTTTACCCCCCATCAGCTCACAATGATGCTGCTAGAGCCACAGGCACAATTTACACTCCTTGTTTTTTGTCCATTTTAGTCATGCTTTCACTTGTGGTTGCTTTTTAATCATTAAGTAGCATAGGGTAGCAGGGTGATTAAGCAAAAAGAGACAGCTGTTGTGCCGATGAGCATTGTGAAACAGGGATGGAAGTAAGGATTGACCTCAGCCAGCTTTATTATTCACAAATCTAGCTGACATGTTTCGAGGGTATTTTGCAATTTTGCCTTGCTTTGCTGTGTGTCCTGTTTGAATGGGAGTAGCTTCTGAGAAAATCACAGTATTGATACCAATAAAGTTTCAGGACTTTCCTGTCTTGGGTGTTTTGGTATTATCAACATTCATTTCTGTATTGTGTGCTATTTAACATGGTGATTTGGAAATAAAATGATGCTGCTACAGTAGATTATGATGCAGTGCTGGCAGAAAATTTATAAATGCATAATTTTTAAGATACTATATTTATATATTTACTAATATATTACGATACTCGCTCACTTATATCACTGCCTCGCTCACTGACATCAGTTAATTTTGTCAAATATTTTCTATTAAAATATCAATGAACATGAATGTTATTTTGCTAATCAGTACCTCTATATATGTACATTTATTTAGCAGAATAGGCTGTATTAAACATTTAATTTTGTAATGTTGTTTGTTCAGATTATGTACCATGTCTTGTGATTGCATATTAATTTATGACTTTGACCTGCACCTCACTCTAACCAGCACAAATATTTAGTATCCACAACACTGCACTGCTTCATCTACAGATTTCAAAAGCCATTTGTACAATGATTATTTTGGCAAACAAATCCAGGGACCCCCATAATGGCTTTCTGCTCCTTGTGGGACACCCAAGTGTAAAAAGCTGCTGATCACCTGGAAAATACTGGGCTCACTAAAATATAATTTACACTATCTGGGTACTTTAAATGCCTTATGCAAGGGTTATGCATTTCAGCAGTCATTTGCATTTGTATTCAGAGGATTTCTTTTTTGTTGTGGTTGTTTGCTGTGATTGCCATTTGGCCTCCGTAGAGACCCTAGTGAATTTTTGCTTCCGTGTTAATTCCAGGTGAGCAGACAGCCATTATGTGAAATTAATAGGAATTAAGAGAAACCACCAGCATGTTAGGTGAAAGGTGGGATAATTCATTAGTGTGTGTGTGTGTGTGTGTGTGTGTGTGTGTGTGTGTGTGTGTGTGTGTAATACATTTATAGCCAGACTTTTAAATATGCTGTCACTACACAGTGATTTTTTTTGCCTTATTCAAGATCTCTGCTTTAACATTGCCTAGCGAATAAATTCATGCCCCTTGTTGCTGAGAAAAATTAATGCTCAAACTTGGCACTTAATTAACATCAGTCTGCAGAGGGCATTTATTGTGAAAGTATCCCCCCATAACGGAGAACATTGATTGCTACATGATCCTGTGAGGCCCACTATTCTTCCAGGCATCTCTAATCATTGTTAGACACCTTGAAAGACAGACACCCCTGTTCAAAGTTAAAGACTGGCCTGTGTCAGATGCTAAAAAAAACCCACGTGATCTCATCCGTTCCTCGTTCAGCTCCCCCTGGAGGTAGTGGCTCCAATTCCACCATTCTTACTCCCTTTTCCCCTTAGTCTGCTAATGATGATGAGACCCACTCTCCACTTTCGGTCTCCACCTTGTCCCTTAAGGCTGAGCGATGGTATTTGGGGTCGGACACTGTTTAGTTATTGGCCAACAATGGAGAATGGCATTTAATAACATACCTACTACAGATTACGTGGTAATTGCGGCCTTAATCAATAAGCTAGCTGAGCGGAAAATTAAAGGTACGTGAAGCCCGATACCCCCCCTCACCCCCACCCACACACGCGCGCACACACACACACACACACACACATGTTTTTTGGTATTAGGCCCATTGTTCAGATTTGGCCTAGTGAGAACGCTGGAGGGCGAAAGCAGAGGCCTAGGAGCGAGGAGGGATCTGACAGTGATAAATAGGCCTTTTAATAACAGCTGTGCCACTTGGGTAACCATTCTGATCCATTCCTATCCAAGCCGTTCCCATCGCCCCCACCTCCCCAAAAACAATGAGAGAGCAAATTTACATATTGCTGTGATGACTTGGTAGTTCATACTTGATTCTAAATGAAACACAATGAACACATGTATGTTATGAACGGTGTCTTTGGTGAGGCCTTGCTGTTCATTTTTGTTGGTTTGAAGCCTCAAAGATTAGTGGACATAAACAAAACACACACACACGCTCTCACAGTTTAACAGATGGTTTGCTTAACTGAAACATCAATTATTGCATTGCCTTGGCAAGCATCTGAGAGGCTCCAGAGTGTGTGTGTGCCCATGTTAGTCCTGTAGGATATGAGTGTTTGGTGAGCTGTTGACCTGGAGAAGAAAAGGGTTAATGCTACACTCCTTCAGAACAGGCCCACAGGGCATTGGTCCTCATCGGCAACAGATTTCAGCGCAGCATGCTGACATTTTTAGGAACATTGTGGATTCATTCTGACGTCATTTTAAACATACTTACATACATACTGTAATATGCTTGAATTTGTCAGAGTAGTGCACAAATTGCAAATGTACCAAGGCTTTCTGTTTTATGTTGTTAAATTGGATTGTGTTTTTTATTCTGTTCTCGTACAGATGAAGTCATTCTTTTATGAAACAGCTTTGATGGCTGAAGTTTGTAATTTTCTTTTCCCCTTTAGTACTTTAACACAATGAACGAACAACGCATGAATGGACTGCTGCCAGACCCTCTACAGATTTTTCCACGAGGTACTCACTCTGCACAGCATTTCACAAATTTCAACTGAAATTTGGGTAGATCACTTGTGCTGTGTTCAAACAATGTGACAATTGGAGCATATGGTCGTTAGAAGTAACAATGCAGCCTCTGGACAACATTAAAATTCAGTTGCTCATTCTATTATTGTGTTGCCATTTATACATTTCTTTTGCTCCAAGGACATATATTGAAACGGCAAGTTTGTGTTCAGGCTAAGTCTTTGCCCAGATCTGTGGCATTGTGTAGTTTCTTCCTGAACTGCTTTTAACTGTGAGTGCTTTTTTTAACACTTACGTTTTTATATCTTCGTATAGTTTTCTCACCACTCAAAGTCATACATAATCGCTAACAGGCCCCAAGGGCAAAGTGAAGAAACATTTTATTGTCTCTCTCTCTCTCTTTTACTTTGTATCTCGCTCTCTTTCTCTCTTTCTCTATCTATTTTGTGATTTTGTTTTTCCTTCCTACCTACCACCAGCTGTCTCAAGAGCCCAACATCTCAATCACTCTCTTGTCTACAACTAATTTCAGAGTAACCCTCATTTCATTTCATATTTTTTCCTTCTTTATAAAGAACTGATTCCTTTTCAGCACATTTGTAAATGGCCCAGTGATGTGTTCTACAATCTAGTCAATTACTGTTTCAGCCGGCAAGACTCCAGGGATCCGGAACATACATGGCCTGAAGGTACCTATCTCAATAATTGTTTCAGCTGCCTTACACAGAGAATGAGGGGAGGGGAGGGGGGAAAGTTGAGGCAAATGGATTGGTAACGCTGTGTTCCACTTATTGAAATGTCAATTGAAGTCAAGGCTCTCCTTTTATTTCACTCATTTTCTTGCTCCCCTCATCTATGTTTATATATGGGCTGGCTGGCTGTGGCTGTTGTGGGGCTTGTCTCTCTTTTTCTGTCTCTTTATATTCTTGTTTCTTATGCTGGAATAGTCATTAAAGGGTAAGGTATTATACTAAAACCTCGATCCCTCTCTAGACCAGAGTATAATGAATCTCTAATTTCCTGTGATAGGAAGAACATCAGCGTAGCAAAAAGTCAGTAAGGAGATGTCATTGTTCAACCATGAAATTGTCATTACAAGCCCCCCTTTGCCATTTGCAAATGGCCTTCCACAGACCTTCCCATTTTATGTTAGGCATATGTTGTTACTATTGAAACTCATTGCTAATTACAATGGGTTAAATGACTTGACACCTCCTCCATCTCTCCAGATGATCTATATGATATCCATCTCCATTTCAATAATAAAATGACCCCCCCCCCCCCCCCCCCAATGCTTTATTTAATGTATCCTCTGAGGAGCTTTGGTAACAACTACTGAACCGTTTATTTTAAGGTTAAGGGTCTGTTTTGAGAAGATGGTGTTTTCCAAAAACCTTCTTAGTCCTTTGATAATCTTTCCCCTCTTTTCTCCTGTTTTAATATAAAAGTAATTGACTAAGGGGATTCTTGTGCACTGTTTAAATTAGGTCTTCCTGGGCACTAATTAAAGAGAGAATCCCTGTGCTTTAGTGGACCCAACACACCGGCCTTTTGACCTCAATTAAATGTGTTATTTTTAGTATCTTGCCTGTACAGGGTTTGTCTCTTCTTTTGTGTACAATATCTGGGTTGAGTACCAAGGTCTTTGGAGTAAACATAGATGCAGATGAATAGATAAAGAACAGTATCCCTAGTGAGGCATAAAATTTTTAATGTCTTAACTTTATTTTCCTCCAGCCTTTGCCCAAATATTTTATCTGTCTCATTTCCTTTAGTGTTAAGTCATTTTGCTATACTTTCATGCAAATATATTTTTGGCTCTCCTCCCTTATTCCTTCTGCTGCCTGTCATCCTTTCCCCTCCTCTATGCGGACACCTCTTTCTTTCTTCCTTGTCTGCCTCCCTTCTCTCCTACGAAAGCCAATTAACCTTCAGGCTGAACTGAGAGCTTGTGTTTTGTTCTTGTTCATTAGGGGGCCTGGCAATATGTCTGTCTGTCGGCCCTGACCACTAAGCGTGTGTTTGGGTGTGCGTGTTTGTCCTTTCACTTGCATATGTGTTTGCACACCTTCAGGTTAATACAAGACCTAACCCAGCGAATGACTGCACTCATGCTGTCCCAGACTCCATGGCCAACAACAGGTGAGCCTCCTGGGGCATAAGGAGCGTGTTTCACTTCCTGGAATAAACTTCAGTTGGATGGTTGATAGATTAGTAGAAAGATGCCTGTGATACTTACGTCATTGCAACTGTGCTGTGTTCCTTCCTCCAGCTTAAAAAAATCATCCGCTGAGCTGAAGAAGATCTTGACAAATGGGCAGGTGAGCCTTTGTTTTGGGTTTAAGTAGAATATGCTGCTCTTATCTCACTGCTCTTGCTCTCACACCTTGTTTCCACTGACAAGAGCACATTCTCACTAGTGGTTGGCTCCTTTATTGATTTTCTGTGATACCAACTGTGGGCATGTTATACAGTGTGTATTTGGTTATTGTCTCTTCACTGTGGGTCGCTGGGAGCAGGGCCTCTGGTTTCCTGAGAGCAAGCCTTCTACAGTAATGTCTCTATCTCTTTCATACACACTCTTTCTCATACACACACACACACACAGCCACAGTGCCTAGTGTGTCGGGGAGACAATTAAGCCAGTGGCCTCTCAGGTCTCAGCTGTAACACAGTGAACTAATAGAGCTATTCTCTCCATTCTCCCCCATCTCTTCATCCATCTCTTTTCATTCTCGTTAACTCCCTCCTCTCACATGTTATCAAATCAAGTGAGGTGAATTGGGGGGAAATGTGTATCTGTGTGTGTGCATGCTTATACGTATGGTTTGATGCCTGCCTCTTTCTGTCTTTACGTAATTAGTCTTGGCAGCCCTACACTGAAATCATATCAGCCACAGTACAAATAGAGCTCCTTTTACAGTTAGCCTGCAACCTCATTGAGCGCCACACACATTCATACACATGTTAAATGAAGTGCTCCCATGCTGCATAGATAGAGGGAAGTAATCAATTAACAAAACATAAGCTATACTTTTCATTCATTTACTAAAATGTATTTTATATTTTGTATGTATAAATGAGGTCATTTTCAGCACGCTAGCACTTTTCAATTCTACATTTTCTGATACATCAATAGGACTTATTTTTTATAATATGGTTTTTCAGTTTTAAGATAAAGGTTTTGTATTACAGTAGTTGATATGTTGAATGTAAAAAAATGTTTAGGGTGCAATAAGTTGAAATGTATTTATTGAAAATATGGAACAAATATATTTAGATGTACTTGCTGCACCTAACATATCAGTTTATTTCTTTCACTTACATTATTAACAGAAGAGATTCACACATAGAAGAGCTAGTTACTGTTGAAAGTAATTCTCACTCTAAAACTCAAGACCAGGACACAACGGAATTATCTAAGTGCCCTGTTAAGAAAAATGAGCAAGAGGAGGAAACTTTTGCTCAGAAGAGCCATGTTAGCCCAGACCACGTTATATTACCCAGCTCCAACACTTTTTTTTATACAAAGTAGAGTGAAACAACGACAGCAAAGAAATCATCATCAAACTCTACATCAGTCACTCCCCCACTCACCCAAGCACAATGTCCTTTTATAAATTGGACAGCAAATGTTGTATTGATCTCCTCTTTCTGTCCCTCTGTTTTCTCTCCATATGTTGCTGAACTTGAAGTGACCTGAATGCTTGTCTTGTTTATAGCCTCCAGTGACAATGTAGTCTCTCTCTCTCTGACTCTCTCTTATAACATCTAAATGCCATTATTGTACATCTATGTGTGTTTGTTGCTCTGCAGATAAATGCCCAAGATATCAACTATCAAGAGCAGCTTGGCCATGGAAACGGAGGCACAGTTTACAAGTAAGTGTTTGCTGGCTCTCACATTGTGGCACCAACATCACAAGGCCACAGCACAATAACAGATAGTGACACTGAGCAGATACCTGCTGAATCAAGTGAGATAGTTTTAATGATGTATTCAGTGATGCTGAAGTCTCTATACAGTGCAAATATGAAGGAAGAATGTCTCAATTAGTGGCCATTTTTAGACGTGCGTGATACGATTCTTGACATTCTTTGACATGACAGACACATCACTCAGTAGGGTTTTGTGAAGGGTACTCCGTTGTTGTCTACCCTTCCTCTCTTCATTCATCTTTCCATTTACCTCTGTGTTTGGGGTGACATTTATCAGACTGGGTTTTGTCTGTACCTGCATTTATTTATTCTGGTTTGAAGGTTGCAAACGTATGATATTGATTTGGGGACTGTTAGGTATGACAGCAATTGACTTAATCTGTCTATGGTACAGCACCTGCCACGACTGAAGAGCTCCATCCTCTCTGGCTAGACAAATGTATTACTACCCTGCTAACATTATGATAAGGGTTTGTGTTGCTCATTCTATCCTTCTTCTCCCCACCTTGTGATTCCTCAATCCCATCAATCCTTAGCTATTGAGCTGTTTTATTGAGATTGAAGTATTGATCACTGCTCAAACTAACCTTGACTTGACAGAGTGGTCTGTCTCACACAGGGGCCAGCAAAACCAGTAAATTTCCTATCTAGCAAATCTACAAGGTTGTCTTTTTTTATTTTCACCCCTTTTTTTCAACCACCTTTTACCATTTTATGACTTTGAGAAAGTTTCATTAAGCGCCAATCTCCCATAGTTGTATGAGAATAAGATTGCTGATAAGTTTGGCACTAGAAATGGTTACACTGCACTGAGGAAGGCCAATATTGCAAGCCCAACAACTTTTCAGTCAATTTAGCCCAGCAAAAAATCCATATGCTGTGGTGCTGGAATTTCTATGGTTGGAAGGAGAAGATAAAAAAAATACAGATAAAATCTGCCTGGTTGTTATATGCTATTTTGGTGTTGTTGATTGTTTTATTTCATGTTGGAGGAGCCCTAACATACTTTTCAACAGCTTGAAGATTTAGCCCTTTGAACGTTTCCCAAATTCATACAACCTACTAATTCTTAGCAGGTCTTCAGTATGTTTGAGTATGAGTTCACTCCAAAACTTTAGTGAGCTACTGATGGACAATATAGACCAAATGTAGACAAATTTCATTAACAATTACATTTGAAGTCCCAGTAAGCCATGACAGTGGGCCTTCATGCACAATACCAGGACCCTGGAACAAGCTCATATAAATGCAGTTCCAGTCTTTGTGCTTTTCCTTTTATGATGTGCCAAAATGTCTGCTGTGAAAAAGGCCAATTTTCTCACAATGAAATGCTCAGAGGAATATATATTGCATAATTTCCTGTTAGTATAAACTAGTTAAGTATGTTAATTTATTGTATAATATTGCATATGTAACTGCAAAAAAGCTGTTTACTATACAGATTAGTATATACTGTATACATATAGCATGTAGTATGGAATTTGGACACTGCTACAGTGTCTCTTCCAAGTTAGTCGTGTGTGTTATATCCACAGGGCATCTTGCCCAGATCCCACAATCACATTAACTGACTTTTAATTTTGAGGGGCAGTGTTTCCACCATTTTCTTAGATTGTTGAGCTCTTCATTGTATCAGAGAGAGTGAGGCCAGTTCACACAAACAGACTTCATATAAGAAGCTATATATGGCTTTTTAAAATGCTACATTTAGACAAATGACACTGCCGTCAAACTGTGTCACATTATATTCAGTTGGCAGCATTGCTGTGAAAAATGCATCCCTGTGGACAGACCGAAAAGTTGTCCTGTGTTGCTTACAGAGGACAGAAGTTTAGGAGCCACTTTATTTGTACCTTCATCCTCCTAGAAATGTCCCGGTTGAGGTCAACATTTCCACACATCCTCCTGAGGACAGCTAGGGTGATGGCCTTTCCTTCTATTCATCAACCAATGCTTTTTCAAAAACTTCAAGGGTTCCTTTAAGTCATTGTTCAAGCTGTAAGTTATCACTCTACAACTGGGCTTTGCTTCCAAAACTACAACAGCTGCATCCTTCGTGGTCTGCCTGTCCCCCTCTGCTGAGTCAGCAGTAGCTTTGTAAGCACCAACTGTGTTCTGGTCAGCCTCTTCCTCTGAAAAGGTTTTTATAGAAGGTCCACTTTGACTCCATGTACCCAATGTCCAACATGACACTAGGAGAGGCTGGCTCGATTATTAAAGCTAAATCATTCTGACCAGTGCTCTCAACCAGACATTGTCAGCAAACCTGTATAACAAAAATACTATCCAGCAGTATCACCTGCCATTAGATCCATGTGAAGAACATAACAGAGAACAGCGACGGCTCAGCCACTTCATCAACCCAAGTGTCTTAGGCATTTAATTACTAATACAGCAACATAGTTACTGTAATTGTAGATCCTTGTGTACACGCCAATGCAAAAGTCAAACGTACAACCCTTGACTAGCATAGTTTAGATCGACCCCTTCTACCCTGAATTCTGACTGTTTAAATCACAGACACACCTGCACCTAATGCAGGACCCTGACGACATGTCTGTGTGAAATTGTCACAGCAGAATTTTACAGGCCTGACTAATATAGATAAGATACTTGGAGAACAACTACTATAATCACCTTTTGCAATGATTTTCTGTTTAAATATAAAGCAAAAAAGGCATAGCTAGTGCATAGCTAGCCTTTCTGCCTATACATAACTAGACAGGTTATTTAAGCTAGAGGAAACCCAATATTGTGAATTTGTAACAAAATAGGTGTTAATTGTGTGTGTGGCCTTGACATAAGCCCCTAGAAATTTTCATCAGTAACTGTTAATTGCTTCCCTATTTCTTTAATTTTAATTATTTTATCATAGACAGAAACACTCAAAATATTTAATTCTGCTCTTCCCTTGGCTTCACCTTGTATTCAGTTTGGCTGGATTTTCAATTCAAGTTATTAAAATAGATATAAAGTCTTCTCTCTTCTCTTTAAATATCTCATGACAAAAGTAAATTAACGTATTATAAGACAAAAACATTTATACAGTAAACATCAAAACAGGTCTGTCTTCACCAAAGCTTTATCATGGTGGGCTTTTCTTAAGGGTCTGGACAAGAAGGATAAAGAGATGATAACATGAGGAGTCTTGGCCAGAAGGATCACCTTAATCTACTGTTCATCTCAATCAATCCCAACATTTGTTGTCTGTTTTTGTACAGATAAAAGAAGAGCGATTACATTACCATGGGTTAGACTAATTGTGTCCAACATATTTAGGTGTTCCTTACTTAGTATTTGTTAGTTGTGTAGACTAAAGGCTGCCACAGTGTGGTATACCACAGCAATCTAATTTTCAAACATCTGCTGAAGAAACCCAAGAGACACTTTCTAATGCATGCTTAAATGTAAATTACAGTGTATTACAACTTGGGTCATAGTTTTGCGCCTCCACCCATCAGTTCTTTGTACAGAAGAAGTAAGAGGTCTAATGGGGCAAGAAACCCTAACAGTCAGATGATCACACAGTATGGAGGCTGCTGCTGACTACGGTAGCTACTTTCTCATCAGTTGATGCCGGTACCACACGCATTATGCAAACGGATAAAGTAGTCAAGGTAGAGTAGCCAGAGGATTGCTATAGCCATGGCATATCCTTATGTGTTGACTGGTAAACAACACCGTACAGGTGTTTTTACGCATCATGATTAAGAAATGGCAACAGCAGTTTTTATTTCACCAGGCACATATTTGCAGTATATTCATTATAATGTTCTTGTAAATGAAATAATAAAAAAAAATAGTTACAAGTAGCGCCGTTACTAGTTTAACTACATTTCTCAATAGTGTGGTGGTAGCGTCGCTCTTTTCTGAATCAAATAGCTTTTCGGTAACGAAGCTCTTTTATTGACAGAGTAGCGCAGTAGCTTCCAGACGCGCTACATTTTGCCAAGCATTTCTGAAGGATCAGTAAGTGACGCCACCGCCACACATGGACCTGTATGTGCAGCCAGCAGAAGCGCTTCTGTGTGACGGTGACATCACGTACCGATCCTTGGGCTGATGCCTGCGACTTTGCTGCAGGGGAACAAAGACATGTGCGACTGAGTTTACTTTCTATTGTGATAGTTATTGTAACACCTCTTGTGAGAAGGATCAGGGTCCAGCCTGGACACCTCTTCCTCTAGTGAGGAGGAAACTTTGATATGTAGTGGCTTGTTTCCATGAGATGAGATGAGAGATTTCTCTCTCGCTCTCTCTCAGGCCTATTGCCACAAATGTTTAGGTTGCAATGTTGCCAGAGCACAAATTCACATATAAACAATAAAAAATATATAATTAATTAATAATGTGATAATTAAGTTACTTTATACAAACAACAATGCTTCTCTGTTTGTTGCATGAGGAAATACATTTAGCTGCAATGATATGGCATTAAGTAGGCGAGTTCTGTGTGTCTGATTAAGCGCTCTCTGTCACACACACTGTTTGGAGCAGGTTTTTAGTCTTCTTTTGCTACTGTGGAATGAAGTTGGTTCAATTTAAACTAGGTGTGTGTGTGTGTGTGTGTGTGTGTGTGTGTGTGTGTGTGCACGCTATATGTATAGGAGGTGCATACGTAGTAAAACTTCTCCGTTTTAAAACAAAAAAGAATTAGTGTGGATGGGGCCTTAGAAACCAATTCTCAATCCTCTTCAGTCCTTCCCTTTGGTCCAGCTCATATTAGGCTTATCACGTGTGAAAAGCACTACCACTCCCAACCTTTTAACCTCTTAGCCCATTTATGACCCAGAGCCATTTAGACTCAATTGGATGTTACCAACACCTCAGCTCTCTAAAGCCACGCGCTGACCTAGCCATCCATCAATGTCAGCCTTTGTTTTTTATTACACACAATCTCAGAGGTCCATCTTGTCCACCAATCTAACTGACTCTATGGCTTATAAATACAATAACAAGGACACACAGGCTATTTTTGTGACTCATGGATGCAGCAGTGCAATTAAAACAAGCACATTTGCCTGGTGCGACTGTGGTGACATCTACTTAGACACCCACAGCTGTTCCTTTAGTCACGCAGACCATTTTCTCCATTGATTTCACCTCATTGATTAAACTGGATATTGAAGGGCCAAACCTCTTTGGTTAATTGGTGGTAACCCGGTATCTTGTATCCAGATATTTTCAGATTGTGTCTAGAAATAGTAGTATTGCAGTTTACACCTGACGTCACAGCACTTCATGCATCTTGAGTGAACTCTTTTGATTCGGGGCTGTTTTGGCGGCAAAAGGGTGATCTACACAATATTAGGCAGGTGGTCAAAATCCCCACAATACATCCTTCCTTCCTGAAGATTATAATGTTCAATTGAATCCTTCAACATTTACTAGTGACTGATGTATTTTACAGTTATTATTAATTAAGCAAGTTCACAAAGAATGACATTTGATTTTTATGATAATTTGCTTGTTAAATTAGCAGTAATGAATGACAAGGTGTCCTGATATAGGAAAATGATATTTAGGCCTCGGTTTGGTTGTGGGTGCTGAATATTTGTAGTGTGTTAAGTGTTTTGTATATATATTGGTTATAGGTAGACTGTTGGGATCTTTAAGTATTTCTCCAGACAATTTGGCTAAATTATCTAATGATTGAGAACCTGAAAAAGCGTAATCTGAAGTCTGAATGGAGAGGAAAAAAGTGTTTTCAGCCTCAAGCTAAATGACTATGAAATCATTCTGATATGAAATGATTGGTTGAGCATTTGGTATCCTCTGGAGGTTAGTTTGACACAATGATGTTCCAATTTATTCATCGTACATTTACATACATTCATTCATTTAGCTGACTCTTTTATCCAAAGCAACTTATGCCTTTGGAGCAACTAGGGGTTAAGTGTCTTGCTCAGGGACACATTGTCATGTCACTGTGGGGACTTGAACCCGGGTCGATCACACCAAAGGCATGTGTCTTGTCATCACCACCCCATCTTAAATGAAATGTAACTGAAAAATCTACAATACAAACACAAAAAAACAGCAAGTATACAAACAAGAAACTTCTGCTGTAACAATTATTGCCTATAGGTGTCGCAAGACATAGGTTTTTAGCAGCTTTGTGTCGTTGCCTGTAGATGGCAACATTGACATGGCATCATCTGCAGATCCTAACTTTTGCAGCTGTTACTTTCCTTTCCTTGGAAGCCGTGCAATGTGGCATGTGCAGAAGTGGTCCAACAATGGGTGAATGCCATAAGACACCTTCTAAAAATACAAATCAGCAATATTAACTGCTGCAACTTTTTGAGCAATGTTGCTGGGCAGTCTTGCTAGTGGCAAGTCTGACTATGTTTTGAACGGATAGCGGCGGTGCAGGGCGGGTGCGGAGTAGTGGGGGAAGGGGATTACAGTAGTAATCTTTACTCATTACCATTGACGGCAATGTTGCCCTGCACAATTGCTCTGAAAGTTGCTCTGTGTATCATCAGCTTTACACCATATCATTAAACCAACAATCTGAGAAAAGAGTGGGTGTAGGGCAGTTCTACAGCAAACAGAAAACCAACAGCTGTTGTGTTGTAATTTCTTTCCCAGCCACAAGAGACTTGTTCTCAAAAAGGATGTCCATTCATGGAATTAAGGAAAATATTGACTTTCAGTTTTTATCATGGTAAGATATAAGCAAAACAATCCCTTCAACTTTTTTTATTTGAGTTCCTTAGCTTTGCTGCTTCAAATGTGTTGAATATTTTGTAAACCTATTTGTTTATGTTTGTATGTACATGCATGTCTATCGGTGTTTTAGGTTTCTATCGGTTTGTGACAGTTAGGAGACCCATTATAGCTGTATCAGGTGAAAGAGTCAGGGGGAGAGAGAAAGGCAGCTCGCTGTCCATGCAGCAGTGTAAAAGTACCATGTTAGCCCTGATCCAGGAGGCCAGTCTCTAACACACAGCCCCCAACTTCAGACATAGAGAGAGGCCCTATGAATACTGCATGATGGAGCTTTTATTACAGAGCGAGCTGGAGTGTAAATAAGATCCAAGCAATGGGGCACGTTTACTGGGGTCAGATCAGGGGGAAGTGGCGGGGGGTTGCTATGTAACCTTGTCCCCATGTCTCCCGCTGTCACAAGCCTGTCACTGTAACTCATACAGGGATGTTCGGCCCTGAGGAGGTCAAGGACAGTCTGAGAATAAAGCTTTAACCAAGCAGTAGTCACAACATAGTTCCTGCCCTAAAACATGCGTTTTCTTAAAACTTTGGGATTTCCAAACTCTTGTATATCTAAAACTGTGAATTACCATTAATATTGGGCCTGTTTTGCTTGAAGTAATATTGTAGAGATATTGCTATTTTGAAACTACAAGTAGTGTACAGTATATGGATGGTTTTAATGTCTGTTTGTCTTGATCTAACTCTAGCCAGAATTAATCAGGAAAAAAACAGCATTGGCTTTCATAAGCAGATCTGAGACTTTGCTTGAAGTATACACAAAAATTGTACACACTCAGATTAAACTTGTGCATATAGTATCCCACGTACACAAAGCTACACTTTACATGTGTTAAAGTAGTAGTTAGGTGCATTTAGCCACAGGCTGGGTATGTCTTTCAGCATGTCTTGAATTCTCATTGATAACTACAAGTTGTTTAGCATGTTTAATCTCTTATCAGGCTTCCTTACACATACACAACCTGCCCAGTCAGTATTTAACATGTCTACCCCTGCAATCTTGCCTCAATTAACATCTTCATCTTAATTAAGAGGCAGCAGTCATGCTTAACTGGTATTGATTGTAGCTTAAAGGAAGACCGAGACATCAAAATGGAAACAAGGCCGTCAGCCTTATGTGCAAAGAACTCTTTTCCAGAAAAGATGGCACTATCACTCTCGGAGCAAAAAGAACTAACACTGTCCATGTAAGTCAGAAGGCTTGTGGTTTGTTCTATTAACTTAAGCTTAATGTTTATCTTTTGCCATTTCATATTTTGTTTGTTTATCTTTTGTGTGTAAACTTTTGGTCAAAGCTACGTGATGGCTGACAAAACTTGTCATGTTGCTTGAAACAAATTAAAGAGAAAATTTCTATTTCAACAATTGTGGACCTCCTACACGCAATATTAATTAAAGGACAATATGAAAATAATCAAAGGTCTATAAACGACAGCTCACATATACCATGGCATAGCTACAGTCAGAGACTAGTCTTCATTCTTACTATAGGTAAATACACACTAAATGACATGGGACTAATAGGTGTCATTAATTAAGGCTGGGCCAGTTTTGAGGTGTCTGGCCGAGGAGCAATGTGATACTCCAATCTACATTAATCACACCTTGCACCATACACATCCTCCCTGGAAGACCCACTGACAGTTGAGTAGCCAGGTATCACATTATCTAAGCCTGTTTGCAAGCTAACCAGCCTGTGTGACGTACACCACCTCATCCCCATCACTTGGCAGCTGTTGGACAGTATTTGTCCTTGAGGATTGTATGTTGAGAAGTCCTGAGGTATTATCACTGGTGCCGTAAACTAACCTTCAAGGGCTGTAACTAAAGCCAAAGTTTGGCATGAAGGACTTTGATAATTAAATCATTACGGGGCTGGTCTGTGGCTGCTGCTTTACTTGCAACTCAAAACTCTGTCTGGAACAGCTAGTGATAGGGCTGGCTGGATCTGGTTTTGGGTGGTGATCTCTGACCTTTTAAGAGAAATGACAGATGAAACACTCGACAGGTGTCTGTGTTTCTGAGCAACAGAAGAGTTAGCATGACAGAATGCCTCTATGAGTTATATCCTTTCATTACCCATCACTTGCCCTTTATGTACATTATTAGTACATTACATAACAATTTGTTGCTGATTGCTTTGATCAACATTTGTTTTTTAACCACACCCAAACAGTGACATTACATCGTTATTTTGGGGCAGAGTACAGGGGATTTTTGCTAAACAGAGTGTAATAGGCAAATATAAAGCTAAAAACTATATTAACTTCAAAATCTCAACTCAGGTTACCACTGAAATACACGCAAGTAACTGCTTTTTACCTTTTAATATAATTTTGTGTTTTGTCTCTATAGAGCATACCATCTTCTTGGCAAGCGGGTTTTAGCTGTCAAGGTGAGAACTCCTTCCACATTGATGACAATAGTTACTCTTTAATGAGTGACCCTTAATCTAGTCCACTTCTACAGAACTTGTTAATGTTGTGTTAATTAAAGGCTTTACCTTTTCTTCCCATTGTGGTTACAGGTCATTCCCCTGGATATCACGGTGGAATTACAGAAGCAGATCATGTCAGAATTAGAAATTCTCTACAAGGTTAGTTTTTTCTGATTACAGCTGTTCCTCCTAACCAAAACAATTTCTATTTTCTCCACTCAATGTTACTGTCCTACCAATTCTACAGTGCCGTTTATCGCCTCTAGTCTTACCATGTAAGCTAGGGATCAGTGATAAATAGACTAAGGCATGTGAATTTACTGGTCACCGTTTGTGAAACAGGAGGGTTTTTTTCTGTTGCACCTAAAATGTACAGGCCCAAAAACTGTGAGCATGAAAACTCACTTAAATTGAGCATGAATGCACTTTGTGTTATCAACATTGAACCCGAAGAAAGAAGTTACGGTTATCCTAAGACAGTGGGAACATAAACTAACCTGAGCTCAGTCACGTGTTTCACCATGACAACATTTTGCTCAGTGAGCCCTCTTCCCATGCAGTGTGTGGAATTAAATCATAAATAAAGTATTTTCTTTCCAAACAAAAAGAGCCAATGAGTGATGCATTTGAGCTCGGACCACAATCACTTAAGCATGAGAAACTTAAAATTTTGTACAATGCAGTGTCACATAATCACTTTTGCACTCAAATTCATAATGAGGATAATGTAGAAACAACATTTTTTTTTTTATCACAGATAAATATTTTGGCATGCCGTTTAACGATCACATTGTCTCTTCCCTTGATTGCAGTGTGATTCACCCTACATCATCACTTTCTTCAGTGCCTTTTTTGTAGAGAACAGGATATCAATATGCACAGAATTTATGGACGGTGAGTTTTTATGTGGCTTAAGCTAGATCATATGCTTTGTCTTTGCTTGACACAGCTGTGTAGAAGAGACTTTGGGGAACTGTCCTCTGTCTCTCTGCTGTGTATCCATTTACACTTCTGCAGATCAAGAGAACATCTTATCGCTGTGAGCTGCTTAGCATGCCTGTGTGCTAAAAGGTACAAGGGTGTGATAAATCTTGACTTAAGTGCATTTGTAGGTGTGTTTGTATGTGTGTCTCTAGACTGGTGTGAGATGGGGGACTCTATGTTTTTAGATGTGTGTGTTAATGCAATGATTCCCCTGTTTCACACATTTGCCAGCTTGTCAGCAAAGTCTGCCTAACATCTCAGCGCTCTTTACTTCATGAAACTTTTGTAATTTCCAGTTGTGCTTGATTACTGCCAACAAGAAATTACAGTGTTCCTTGTTTATGTTGTATTGATATGACAAATACATATCAATAAAATTAAATTGTCAGCAAGTGGCATTACAACAAATATTGAAGACTCACTTTAATTTTCAAGTACATTTTGAAACATACCAGTAATGTGTCTCTCTGCAGTAAACAGCTATTCTAAGAATGTCCAGCATTTTAAAAATTTCCTTTTCTTCTCTGCTTTGTTTTTCTTTGACCGTTTTTGTTTTTGACTGTTTGACATTTTTGATGTTGATCTTGTCGGCCACAACCAAATAGAAGCTAATTGTTAAAATATTTAAATGAAAACAGGTGTACTGTGTTTAGACACATATTTTGTTGATATTTTGTTTCAAGTATTTTGTCGAGTTATGCTAATGCCCTCAGTAGTGCTCATATTTACTTCTAACTATGAAATATATATTTTTAATTTATATTGTGTAAATTGCTGGATCTGGATCCAGATGAATTTGTAAGCAAAACATTTGTGTTAGTTGTTTGGATAGGTGTGAAATGTTGTGGCAAAAATGAATTTGGCTTTGTGTCGTGCCAAAAAGGCCATTAGCAGACTAGTTAAGACATTGTACAAAATGTAATGACTCATTTGTCTTTTGCAGGTGGCTCTCTGGACGTGTACAAAAGAATTCCAGAGCATGTGCTGGGGAGGATCGCACTAGCAGTAAGTTTTCATGAAGTACTCAAAATCTCTCTATTAGTAGTTTGATTACAGAGTGAATCTTATTTCAATTGAAAGGTGTGTTCTTAATTAATACATTTATTTATTATGTAATTAAGTATGTAATCTATTAGAGTGCTCTGCCATATGTGTCTGGCGGGTACAGTTTTCTGTGTGACCTGTTATTTGTTTGTCGGATACAGAACCACTCTGAGGAAAAAACTCACTTTACTATTAATGAAATAAAAGAAAATAGAACCACAGGTGTGAATTCATCAACTAGCTTCTATTTGGTTGTGGCCGACAATGTCAGTGTTGTTTTCCCCTTATCCTCCCCTCTCACCCTTTCTCTCTCCCTTTCTGCTCTGTTAAAACTAGCATTTTGATAGAAATGGCCTTGATGTTGATCAATGCATGCCTCTTTTCCACACTCATTATCCTTCCCCTGTCTCCAGCTTCTCTTTACTGTCTCCCCCTTTTAACTTTGTCCGTAATCAAACAATGACAGCTATTTAGTCAGTGTTAATTCTAATTCACAGCTTTGCCTCCTTTCCACTGTCACAGTTGTTAATTATCACAGAAGGAAAAGCACCCAAGAGGGTGTGAGTGAAGCTGCACACTGCAGTTGTTGCACTTGCCCCACCACCTTTTGAGGCAGCAGGACTTCAGAGAGCTTTTGTGCTTCCTTAATTTATCTCTGAGGTTGTCATGCATCAGAGATGGATGACAGGAGCTAGAGGCTAGAATCAGCTCTCACATCCCATAAATGAAAGAAATCACCACAAAGCAGTATTACACATTTGGAGATGAGTAATACTTAAACAAAATTATAATAATTATATGGATGTTTTACAGATCTAAACAGGTGTAGTCATGTGTGTCTGTGACTGGAACAAAAATTGACTTGGCAAATTGAGAGCTTTGATGTGCACCTCAGCTCTCCCTTTGCTGCCACAGTCTGATACAAAGTCTGTACTAGTGCAGCTGACATACCTAAACTGTAGTCAATTTTAGGATCTTTACTTCCCATTATGAAGGTAGCTGCATTCCTCTGCCTGGGGCAAGTTCTCCCCCTCGCTTGGGTTGAGTTAGCAGGAGCACCAGCCCCAAGAAGATGAAGCCTTTGTAGAGAGATTCATCGCCTCAGATGGAAACCATGGTTGCAGTCTGAAGCTGATGATACACAGGGCAACCTTTTGAGCAATCTTGCTGGTGGCAAGTCTGACTATGTATTGAATGGAAAGCCTTTTTCCAGATATGCATCAGAGTGAGATGCAGACTGTCGTGGACAAAATCCACGCTGTTGGGTTTAAAAGCATACAGGATTTTACAAGAAAGCTAATCAGTGACATCCTCTGGTCGTCATTTATGAAACTGGCAGCACCGCTTCTGGTTAACAGTCTAAGGACAACATCGATACAAAATTAGAGAGAACCGTGACCGCACAGCATTTCATGATGAATCTTGTCAAACCATAAGGAGGTTAGGACCTTACTAACCACCTCAGCAACTCGTGCCATGACAGCCAGCTTGTGAGGTGTAAACAGGGTCATTGTCATTTTCCCCTCCCCATAAGTTCTGTTTGTATAGTTCAGTTTGTATAGTTCAACTGGAGGTTACTACTCCACAAGAATTACATTTCAGCCAATGTGTGCTGGTTAAATGTTGAATGATGTCGAAATTAATATATTTTTTCTTTGTCTGTGTTTCTAGGTAGTCAAAGGCCTGACATATCTGTGGAGCCTGAAGATACTTCACAGAGGTGAGTAAGGTAGTGCGCAGGCTCTGTGTTATTACAAAAAGAGCAGAGTTGATAAAGACAAGCTACAGAGTGCTGATGTTGCAGTTCTATCAAGCAGTTTGTCTCCGCAGATGTCAAGCCTTCCAATATGCTGGTGAACACCCGGGGACAAGTCAAGCTCTGTGACTTTGGTGTCAGCACACAGGTACACTGATTTGTTTGTGTGAGCAGGAGAGAGAGAGGGAGAGAGAGGATGGAAGAGAGAAGAATGAAAACAATTGTCCATAGCTGCATCACCACAGTCCTGTGCAGTCTCTGCGTTTATGTGTGTGCAGATCTGTGTGCATATGGTCAACCTGTCAATCACTGAATCCATTTTCAACTCAAAACATCAGCGCCATCCCAAGGGTCTTCCTCTCACATTAACTCCCCCTGCCACCTCCATTGTTCTGTAGCCACAAAAAAAAATCACTTGTTATAATTATGACCCATACACACACAACAGCAAAGCCTCATTGATATGTATTCAGTAGTTGCGGAGAAAGCGTGGGTGGCAGACAATAGCTTAGTCAGTGTGTGTGTGGCAGTGTGTGTGTTTGTAATGCAATCATCAGGGACAGACCTTCAGCGTTCCCCAAAACATCAACCCAGGGGACTCTGTCTTCCTTTTCAGCACACACACACACACACACACACACACACACACACACACACACACACACATATACATGCACATATCATCTCTTCTGTGGCAAATTATTCCTTTTTAACCTCCCCTTTGGAACCTCCAAGGTGAATTTTACACCATGTTTATGTAACAGAAGTGACTTGTTGTCCATTGACTCGTCCTCTGTCTTTTTAACTCTTTTTTGCTGTTTATCTCTCGTTCACACATATACACTCTCCCTCCCCCTCTCACATTGCAGGGCATTCTCAAAAAAAAAATCAGCCATAAGGGAACAGACACTCATTATCACAGTCCTGTCATTGATGGCATGTGCCATTGTTTTCACACACACACAGATTCACTAATGTCTCCTTGTCTGTTCCCTTGTGCACGGGCTGAGCAGCCCAGAATATCAACCTGACATGTCAATAGATTTAGATAATGTAAGTTAGACCCAGCTCCCTTCTTTTCTATTTCCTAATATAGGACAATGAAGTAGTGACTCCTAAAAGTTATTTATACTGCTTAAGGTGGCTTATTGTGGTCATTTGAATAGTCTGAATACATATTGATATAACAATTTTCTTACCCACTATTAATCTGCTTATTTAATTTGCAGTTGGTGAATTCTATTGCCAAAACGTATGTGGGAACTAACGCATACATGGCGGTGAGTGACCCCTTAAGTTTAGTCTCATGTCAAATAATTTTCAAGTTGTATGACAGATGACGCATGTCCACAACTGGAGGCCTATCAGTGTCTTGCATAATCTTTGTGAAAGTGGTGGCTTTTCAGCTACTGGAGCATCTGAATTATTGTCATCATCATCCACTTGATCCAATGCAGTTTGGCTTTAAAAATCTTTCTACAGAAACTGCAAATTGTTATTTTATAGAAAAGATAGAAAGTATGCTAATCAGTAATGTATAGAAATTATTGAAAGACAGACAGTTATGTCTCTGCCTGAATGTATACACACTGGTCTGTCCTGCAGGTGTATTTATTTGTGTTATGTGGAATTAATACTTTTTATATTGTTATATGTGCGTTGTATACACGCCCAGGGACAACAGATTGGGAACAGACAGGAATTTCATTGGGCTATATCTGGTGCCATACATTTACATTTTCCCTGTTTTAAATAAACCAATATATGAAAATAAAAAATGATTGCACAGGAATCAGAGCCTCCAACGTTGTCCTTACAGTTTTTGATATTTGTTTTCACAGCCAGAGAGGATATCAGGAGAACAATACGGTATCCATGCAGACGTATGGAGTGTGGGAATCTCTTTCATGGAGGTATGACTGTATATAAATGGCTCCATATTTTGTAATTATACAGTCCGGTATTATGTACTTTAAATAAAATAGATTGTATTGTATGTCTTCAGACTGACTGTTGCTCATTGACTGAGCAGTATATGGAGCGTAGGTGTTGTGTGTCCAGGTGCATGTGCATCAGTATCTCTGTTCATCTCTGCCAATAGAATTGATCGAGTGCTTGACTGACACCCTGCGTTTTCAAAAAACATTTTAATTTCAGTATTCCACTTCCCTGGTCTCCAGTCTTCCCACTGACGTTATTGATTGTCCATCTGTTTCTGTCCACCGCTCTCCCTCTGCTGTATAACAAATGATTTGGACTTCTGCCTCGCTTTTGTTTGTCAATAATGTTTAATATCATTACAATTATAACAATAATGGATGAGTTCACAGGGAAGGAGCCTTGTCAAAAGTATTGACATAATCTCTGTGATAAAGATAGAGTTTTAGAGCACTGGACCCCCTGGCCGTATTCTCTTTATTTCAAGCCGTGGATGTGTGCATTAAGCAAAATTAAGTGGCTTGCAGTCTCACTGAATTTGGATTGATCTTTAGTTTACTAGTTGGTCTATTTATGTTCAAGGAAAGACTGTGAGCATTTTGACGTTTTAATAACATAATATTGCCAATAAGCTGCCCTTGACCAAGATGAAAAATGCCCACCCCAATTGCCTAATGTCAAGAGCGGTCACCCAACGCCCCAGCCGTCCCACAATCCTGTCCTCCTTTGCTTTATCCCTCTATTTTGTTCTCCGCAGGTGGTAATCGTGGGGGGGTTATTAACTAATAGCTGATGTTGTTTGATGAGGAAGTGTTATCAGCAGGTGGGCGCTGAGCTTACCTCAAAGACTGAAAGTCTCAAATTCTGCATGCTTCAGTGGCTATAGCAGCATTTTCCTTCTGTTTTCACACTTGAATTCCATTCCATTAAGACACTGGCAATAGCAGTGCATGTATACATTTATACATGTGAAAATATATACAAGGGGAGGAAACATTATCATGAGCGTCTGTGTAGTCTATGGAGTCCAAAACAGCAGCCACGCAACAAATTCTACCTTTTGAGAAGCTTGTAATTTGTCAGAGAAATGTTGATTCCTTCAAAGGCCATCATTTCTTATGTTGGTATCATGGACTTTGTCAAGGATATGCAGTATACTGTACACACACACTCACAGTATCTATAAGGGGATGGGTAAAATATTAGGCACACTCTAAAAATACAAAGTTATAAAATTGCCTATTATAAACTGCACAAATGTAGGCATCATGGAGGAGTGCTGTTTGTACAGTTGTTTACAGATTATTTTTTATTATTTCAGATGTCTCAAGAAGAATCTAAGAATATCCTGAAGCACTTAATTTTACTTTCTTTCCCATACAGCTGGCGCTAGGCATGTTCCCCTATCCACAGGTGAGCTATTTTCACTGTTTCATTGATTTGCATTTCAGGCTAATTGTTTTCATTTTTTATTTATTTCTGCCTTAAAAAATATCCAGATTTTTAAAAAAGGAGACGATTTGTTTAAACTGATTGTGGTTGTGATGATTCCTTTTGCAAGAAAACACTTAGTTTACAGTAACAGTCCTCAGTGGTTAAACTACAGTTTTTGTGCTGCAAATCACAATTTGTTTTCCAGATCAGATTTTCTGCCTTTTTAGGCAATTTAGATTTTTAAAATAAGATTTAATGAGATTTATTTTGTAAATACTGTATTTTATATACATTTTAAACATTATACATAATAAGGTTTTCTAATGATTCCTAACTTTGAACTTTTTTTCTGATTCAACTTTAACTGCTGAATCATGATTCAATGCCCTGAATGAGACTAAGATGTCTGTTGACCTTGACATATAATTTTCAGTCATGTATATTACTTTCTAGATTAGTTGTTAAATGTATAAATGTACTGTTTGGGTTCATTCTTTTCCCACTCATTACACTAAGTTAAAATCCTGCTCAAATGTAATTGCCGACCACAGAAGTGACTTCCCAATCCCATCAAGTCTTAATTAGCCTTTTAAGATGGGTTTATCTCACTAATCTCTAGCTAAGCAATCTAAATCTGGTTACCTCAGTTCACCTCCTGGCCCTTCGCCTTCACAAATGTGAAGGCACAGATTTTATCTAATGAAGAGTTTGTTCTTAGTTCTACACTGTTATAGTGTGAAAATTATGCTTTGAAAATCTTAATTATATTATAGAAAGGTTGTGATTTAAAATTTCTGCTTAAACAAGTCATCCATGGACACTAGTTAGAACTTTTTGTACAGTTTGATTAACAAGTCTTGACAGTGCTCTGTGTATTGGCACATTTGATCATTTTCTGTGTAATTTTCCTGCGGGCTTAATAATGTATGCAACACTTGGACTGCTCTGTCAGTCAAATGAATAAAGTGACTGCTTGCTTTCATGATGGCAACTCTCCTTTCTGAAAAAGAAGCAACCAATTTACTAAACGCTTGAGTTGGATGTCATGTGAGACTTCTCAGCATTAAAATGAACTGAGATTTATCTTAGGCCATAGGTGTTTTGGATGTTAACCTCAGTTACTTCTGTTTTAAGATGTTATTCTATTAATGTTATCTATTGTGGGCTGAGGGTAACCCAAATGTGTTTTTACAAGAATTAGATCAGCACCTAGTTGTGTCCTTTCACAGCGAACAGCCGTCTGTGAGACAGATTGTAGTTGAGATGTAGCAATTCACTTGTTGTTGTTGTTCATTAATTCTTAAGCCATGATGAAAGGCATATGCAAACCTTTGTGTAAGAGAGCAAAGGTACGTTTATACAGCACTTAATTTGTATGGTGATGTAAATGTCACACACCGATCAATCTGTGTGTCTACATGTGTGGTGTGTGTGTATTACTATAGCCTAGGGCATGTCTGAATCCTTCCTTCATTTAATGCTTCCATTATCATGTTAATTGTTAGTGTATTTTTGCAAATGAATGGTAGTTTAATCTACACTCATGGATAAAAATGGGGTAGACAAAATATTAGGAACACCTCTCAGTTTATAGTTTAGGCTCTTCACTGCCACGCAGCTCTCCTCATCTCAGTGTTAATTTTCCCCTGACTCCATATGGTACTGCAGACAGTTCACCTGCAGGCTGTAGCAGAGCGGTGTGGCGAGAGTGCTCGGATCCAGCTCGTCAGGCGCAGCCAGCCAAAGTCCTCGGGCCTAAGCTGTCATTTTTGCAGACGCTGGCACAGCTGTCTGTGCAAAACCCCCTGCTACACTTCATAGAGAACATTTTAGTACAGACTGAGGTAGAAGTTGGAGAAGACGAAAAAGAGAGAGATTGGTAGAGAATCGGTCGCATCCACTGTAGACTAGTGGAAGATACAGGATGAGTTGTTAAAAGTTGAATTTCGCTTTGAGGCGTTCATGATTTGCACTTTTGAAAAGCCAATTTTAGCACTCTTTGGGGTCTTTTGTTCACACTTTACATTCTGAGGAAGTGTGTGTGCTTGCCAGTTGCTTTTATTTGTGGATGTTTAGTTGAAACATTATCTTGCAGTCTTTCGTGTGTGTGTGTGTGGAATCATCACCTCATGTTTGTCATGATTAGAGATGGTCTCTTTAATTCCACTTCACCACATGTCGGGATTCATTTGCGTCCTTTGTCGGGAGTTAATGGAGTTTTTGCACGGCTCGCTCTGAAAGTCTTTGAAGACACCAGACCTGATGTGATGTGATATGTATACAGCCGCCAGCGCTATAGCTTCTGATTGATTTGTTGTCTTTTTGTTTGCTCTGTGGTTGTTTTTGTTTCTCGTGATTTTGTCATATTTTCACAAATTTGAATGAATTTCTGGATGAAGTATCATGTCAGTTTTTGTGTGTATGTTTCAGGAGCTTCCATTACACATCACTGCATCCATCACACAGCATATACACTTTCTCTTTGCGACTTTATTTCCTCTCAAATGACACGGAAAGGAAATGGTATTGTGGTACTATGTACTGTATATGTGCGTTGTAAACAATGTTTTCAGCACCCTATGCCAGCCAAGCTTTTAAACTTTGCAGTCACATGTCCTCTTTAAGACATTAGTTACATTTTTATTTCAGTGTATTAGACTTCCCTTTATCTTTAGATTACTTTACAAATTATGTGAAAACAATTTACACTTCTCAATCTTAGTGTGCACAACATCTGTCTGTATGTATTACCATGCTAATTATTATCACCCACACATTTTTGAAAAATGCACAATTGTCTGTATCCTTTGGGTTTCCGATGCAGCTGTGACTGATTTTTAAGATGTAATATTTTGATAGAGCTTACTCTATCACTAATCAAACATGATGCAAATCTAAATTTGCCACATAGTGAATCAAAGTTAAACAGTGTTAAAGCTTTTGGCTAGAAATGAAAGGTGATAAATTTGGAGATCAGAAAAGAGCTGCAGTTGCCAGATTAGTTTTAAAAGCCTATAATTTAAGAGTAGCCCATCTCAGGCGAACAGAGTGATTTAGTTGCTGTTGACCTAACAGTTATGAAAAGAACAGAGAAAAGGACCTCTTGTTATAGTGATATTTCCATGATGCCAGAGTGGGACTGCCCTTGCCCATAACCAAAACGTGCTTGTCATCCTTTGCTGACAGTTTTAATCAGAAAAGGAGCCTTTTGTAAGAGTTTTCTAATTTTGTTACCCTTGGAAGGGGAGGGAAACAGCCATCTGATCTTTTGGAAGTGTTTATTGTGTTGCTCTTTAAAGCAACAGGAATCATTTGACATCTACAAATGCATTTTTTGACTTCTTATTTTCACGCTGAAGTATTTTCAAATAACGAAAAGGCTTTGATGTGGCTTACAAATTGTCACAAAGTGTGGCTTGGAACACGGCTCTCCAGCTCAGGGGAACGAGAAGCTGATGTTGTACACAATTACAGTCGTCATTTAATGATACACACACACGCACGCGCACACACACACACACAATAATAAACACACTCGTAAACAGTCCTTTACAGATTCCATACAGACATTGAAGGTCGTGGGTGCCTTCCCACCTTCTGCAGCACAAAACAACATATTTTTTGTTCTTAGATCAGGTATCAGAAGAAGTGCATTATTGGAATATTTATACTTTAAACTAGTTTAAGTATAAATGTCATATTAAACATTGTTTATCCTCCTCAGGATGAACATGCAGATAATGATATGTCTACCAGATAATCAGCCAACAGTGATGAGTCTCCGTTAAGACAGAAATATATGGAGGGAGTATTAAACCTCTTTTTTGATATGTGGTCAAGCTACCTAGTACAAGAAGAATAAGTACTCAGTTATGCTTGAATAAGTTAGTCTCCCACTATACAATTTCAACCCCTGGTGTAGCTCGCAATTTTGTCCTTGTAATTATTTCTGAACAAATTAGTTTTCCATAGTTGCCTTTTAATGTGTCTGAATCAGGCAAAACTGGATATAAATGCAGTTTAGGAGTCTCTTGGTATTTGCAGAGTGTGAAAACCTGTATTTAATTGAGTGAATCAATAAGTGCTCAAATGCACTGTCAAAAGACCTGAAGAAATGAGCAATTTATTTTCCAAACCTTATTAGAGATTTAGCTGAGCCTCGGTTTTAGGCCTTATATCATTTAGTCTATATGATGTTATAAACTCGTGTTTTTAGAAATTAAAACTGATTGTCCTGATGAATTTAGTCCTGGGAGTTTTAAATAGGAAACATATTTGGTTTCTATAGTTTCTCTTTAGTATCATACATTTTAAGATGTTATCTCAGAGGTAGCGTGTTGATCCAAAAGTTTCTATTCTAGCACATTTTTTAACAACTCAGTCATTTCAAATTTTCTGACTGTGACCATAGAAAATACACTTAATAAGTCAAATAAGTATTGAATAACTTAGAAGTCTCGCCTGATTTCCAAGACCAAGAATTGGTAATTCTCAGTGTTGCACCTGTGAAAGTGACGCATTGCTCATTACAAAGCTTGCTCACTCTGTTTGTAACAGTTATTCTACATCCCGACACATCTAGATAACCTTGAGGGCAGGAATAAAGTACTACTCTGAAAATTAACATTAGTGGATCTTTTACCCCCATTCTCCACAAATGAGAGCAGGGCCATTAACATTTGTGTGTTTTCATTATGTAAATGGTGTTAACGCATACTCACAAATTGCCAACAGGAAAGTAATAATTTTCTCCTGGTGATCATAATGTGTCCAAGTGCATCATCTTGATTATGACACGCTAATTACATATCGCCTCGTCCCTTCTTCTCTGTCTTACCCTACAGATTCAGAAAAACCAAGGATCTTTAATGGTAAGTTTTATTGCATTAGAATAGGCGGAAAGAAAATAGGGGTCTCCCACACTACAGTCTGTTACTCTTGGTTGGCTCTCTCATTTGAAAAAAACACTCAAATTGCATTTTTGCAATGAAATATTAGATCATGCTTAAACCGCTGGTATTACATTAGGTGCCATTATGGAATAATAAAAACATTCAGGAGCTGTAGGATTGCTTTGCCTGAGCTCGCTGCATTTGAGTAATCGAAATAGATACTTTTGTTTTATCACACTATTGATTTTCCTTATTGCCAAGAAATTCCATGTAGGCTAACATGTTTTTTTCATCTCCGTGTGTCTCTCCTTTTCCAGCCTCTCCAGTTACTGCAATGCATCGTTGATGAGGTGAGTCGTCGTCTTATGTGCTTTTGCATCTAAAGTCAGTCCTAATGGCCCGGAAAGCTTATATTTTGTTTCCTAATGAAGCAAACCACTCAGGCGGCTTTGCTCCCCACTCACTCAACCCTTCACCCTATGCAACTGCCTCAGGCAATACACATATGCACACACACATTACTGTAGAGGTTGGACCTGTCATGAGTGACACACACAAAGCAACACAGGCCTGAATTCTGTATACCACACAACCAAAGCAGACAGAAATTGTCAAACCAGGAATATTCTCATGACTGCATTGAGTGTTTATGCATCTATATAAAGAAGTCATAACACACAAAATACTAAAGAGACTGATAATGACACACAGTGAGTGCTTAGCTATCTAATGCATCTAATAAGCAGCATCTTTTCCCAACATATCACGTGTAAAAAAGCAACAGTCAGACCATGCAAAAAAACAAACAATAAAAATACAGAGGAACAGACAAAACAGCAACAAACACAAAAAGTTGTCACACACAATTTTATTTGATGTAGTAACATAGCTATCCACCAAAAAAACTTGTTATTGATTTTAGTGCTATAAATAACCCAAACCTGGACAAATGTTATTATAAAAGTAGACAGCAGTGGCACAGTACAGAAGTATATGATTAAATAAGGTTAGTTGTATCTGGTGTATATATCACCCTTTTTATAGTCATCTGATACTGAAATGCTTTTATGTATGCAGTTTTTCAATTGAGAAATTTCAATAACATGGCTATCTCTCAGTGCTACCCTACTTCAATTATTGATATGATCTATGGACATGTTATTTTATTATGTCTGTGGACATGAATGTGTAAGCTCACAATGCCTACATTTTCATCAAAAGCCGCAATCACAACCTTTGCCTCCTCCCTCTTTTTTGCCTGGGTTTTTTGCTGATGTACACTAATAGCAAAACTGCCACAACACCTCTCTAGCCTAAACCAGCCCCCCAATCCCTATAACCAGCCATATCACACATTAAACATATAATGTCCCTTGTCCTTAACTGCCTTTAGATTGGCTGTAATTAATAATTAAATGCTTTTGGTTGTAATGGATTGACCTGGGCTGTACTGTTCATTAGTCAGCTAGACAGAGGCATCACTCAAACTATTTTTCCTGTGCCTTTTTCCTGTTCCTCCCCTTGAGGGAGGAGAACATTCTCTTTTGTCCGTGGCGAGCCTCACTGTCCCAGCTAAAGCAGTGCTTTGAAGGAAGAGACGAGAGGATAAGCACTCTTTGGAAAGATGAAGTCTCTCAGAGAAAATTTAAAGGTTGAGGGCCGCACTAGACTGGAAGGCACAGTATAGTGCAAAGGTTTCAGTGAGGTGTGGTAAACTGCTGTAAAATAAGGTGCTTTAAAAATATACATGTTAATAGATTATGTTTATCAATTAACAAAATGCAAAGTGAGTGAACAGAAATAAAATAAAAAACAGTATTTAGTGTGACCACCCTTTGCCTTCAAAACGGCATTAATTACTGCTGTATGTTCAGGTTCCTGTCGTGCTGCAGAAAAAAATGCAGCCAATCAGATGCCTCCCTGATGTTATCGCATGATGCATAATTATCTCAGTGTTGAGAAGGCCATCAATTGACCAAATCGCCAACTCTGTTTGCAGAAATGCAGACCCAAACGTGCAAGGAACTCCACCATGATTCACTGTTGTCGTTTTGGAAGGCTAAGGGTGGTAAAACCAAATATTGATTTGATTTAGATTTTTCTTCTGTTCAGTTACTTGTATTTTGTTAATTGAAATATTTCGTTTTTTGAGATCTGATGTGTGATTGTTTTTTTTTTTTAACAGTGTATTTATCAAAGTTCAAAATCTTTAAATTTTTTAATTTGTTGGGAACAAAATGACATAACAACAATCAATGGAAACTAAAACCAAAGATGAAGAGAGAATGTAAAGGTTGAGGGCCGCACTAGAGTGTGGTGGAAGTACAGAACTGTGCAAATGTTTTAGGCAGGATTGAAAATCGCACACACTAGTAAATTAAAATCACAGGCACGGATCCAGCTTGCGTGACTTCATTAGAGCAACTCATGATTTGACTCAGTAGTGTGTATGGACCCCACGCGCATGCACTCCCAACAACGTCTGGGCATGCTCCTGATGAGAGGGATGGTGTCTAAGGGCATCTCCTCCCAGACCTGGATCAGGCCATCAGTGAGCTCATGGACCGTCTGTGGCACTACATGGCAGTGTCAAGTGCACCGTTATATAACGTCCCAGAGGTTCTCAATTGGATTCTGGACTGGGGAATGTGAGGGCCTGTCAGTGGCATCAATGTCGTCATCATCTAGAAACTGTGTACACACTCTGGCCACATGAGGTTGGGCTTTGTCCTGCAGCAGGAGGAATCCAGGGCCCACTGCACCAGTCTAATGTGGCATTGAGACCAAACGCAAATTTAATCCTCGCAACGCTTTCCTCACGGGGGTTTTATTGCTGGACAACCGCCAAGTGTTCACACACAACACGATAACAGAAATAAACACAACTCGCCATTACTACATCTGTATCTACCCAAAGTAAACATTTTGCTGTAATTAAATAGCAATAAACTGATATAAATGAAATAAATACAATATGATGCAGATTTGTTAAACATATGAATTCAAGCTTTGTCAAGTCTGTGAGGAGGTCAACAGCTTCTAAAATGTTTGTTTTCTAATGGAGTTCGGATCGATCAGGGCTATGCTAACTTGTTCACAGTAAAGTACAACGATAACTGGGATAAAGTCACAGACCCACATTTTCTGAACTCACCAGTTAGTTCAGCTTCCACGCTTTCTTTTCTCCAAGTAATGTCCAGTTTTGTCCATTTTTTAATATACATTTGAGTAGTAGTGCAACAGAGCTCTGGGTGCCAAACGATGCTAACAACAATAGTGGAACCGCATGTGCACGTAAGCTAGCTGCTGAGAAGCTCGAGTGAAGATAAATCAACGTTGTAATCCCAAAACCTAAAGTAAAAAGCAGTTTACTCCGAACTCCTCCCCGTGAGTAAACGGCGTAGTTGTCTGACCATAATCCAGTCCAACTATGGGTGTTTATTTGTCCAAAAGCTGCAGCCCTACTCCCGGTTCTTCTCCCCCAAGTTTAGCAGCTCTCCGCCGGGCAGCAGAATTTCACTCTCCTGCTCTGCCTGGCTCTCTCCGCACAACGCTCTGAAGCCTCAGTGACGTCCGGATAATCTCAATGCTCATAGGCTATCGCGACTTACCTTCATGCGACTACCTTCCCATCACCAGCGCACCCCCTTCGCACTGCCCAACAGAAAATCGCGGCTCTCTGCGTCTTTGCATTGACTTTGTATGTAAACGCAACGCTCACTTCACTTTTGGTCTGAAAGCACCTTAAGGTCTGACAATGGTTCATCGCAGTCCTTTCCCCAGAACATCATGAAGAGAACGGAGAACCAATGGTAGACCTGCCAATTCTGGTGTTCTCTGGCAAATGTCTAGCGAGCTGCCCTTTGCTGGGGTGTGAGCACAGATCCCACTAGAGGATGACCGACCCTCATGCCCCCATTTTAGTTAGAAACATTCACACTAGTAGCCTGCTGGAGGTCATTTTGTAGGGCTCTGGCAGTGCTCCTCCTTTTACTCATCACACAAAGGAGCAAATACCGGTCCTACTGCTTGTTGATGGCCTTTTACTGCCCTGTTCAGCTCTCATTGTGTAACAGCCCATTTCCTGGTATCTCCTCCATGCTCTTAAAACTGTGCTGGGAGTCACTAAAAAAACCTTCTTGAAACTGCATGTATGGATGTGCCATCCTGGAGGAACTGAACTACTTGTGTAACCTGAATAGGCTGCAGGTACCGCCTAATGCTTTCCAATATTGACAAGGACACTAGCAAAATGGAAAACTACAGAACAATCAGTAAAGAAGGATAAGGAGATATCAATCAGGTTATCTTCCTGTTGTCACTTTAATTTGCACCAGAACAGGCGACATTGATTCACAATCACCTATACTTAACTGGACAGATGGAGACCCCTGAAGTCTAATTGACTTGATGTTATACTGTTATGATAAAGTGTTCCCTAAATTTTTTTTTAAAGCATTCTTACTGTACAATGTTTTCCCAAACCTGCCTAAAACCTTGTCACAGTACTGTATATACATTTCAATGTGCAGTAGAATACCCAGAGAAGTGCTCTGTCTTAGTGTTCCCAGTTTGTTGCTAGTTCAGGGCCTAGTACTCTACGACCCCTCTGTCTTACTCAATCCCTTTAAAGCCCCTTTCATTGTGCACTTTAAAGGACACAATTCCCTAAGTCCTTTAGACGTAATGCCTGCCAGATTTCTGAAGGGCTTTTTTAGCCATGTTGGTCCCGCTGTTTTATCCATTGGAAATATCTGTCTTTCCATTGTCTGTGTTCCCTCCTACTTTAAGCACACAGTGGTGCACCTACTTTTCAAGAAATCTAGCCTAGACCTTCTGGATTTTACAAATTTTAGACTGATTAACTAACTTAAATTTAATTATTTCATTTTTAGAGAAGGTTGTTTACTTAAAGTTAATTTCCTTTATAAAAAGACATAATATCTTTGAAAAATCACGTTTCTGTTTATTCCATAGCACTGAAACTGTCTTTTACTTACTAGGAGATTGTTTGATTTTAATTATTCTTGATCTTAACTCAGCATGATACTGCTCTAGACTGGTTCAAATCTTATTTATCAAACAGAACTTTTTGGATGTGAGCAATGACGCATCCTCTTTTTTCGCCCATCGGACCTTTGGTGTTCCCCTGCACCATCCATGGCCCCCTGTTGCTCTGTACCTGCATGCCCCTAGGGCATATACATAAACACAAAATGCAGTACCATTGTTAAGCAGATGGTGATGAAATTTATGTCCCGTTCAAATCCTTTTTGAAGATGGCAATTTTCATTAGCGCTGGATATCCCAAAACATTCTGTCGTTAGTTAAAAACAAATCTGAAATCATT